GCAGTCTCATTCAACTGTACATGAGTGGCCCAGATCTTCCTTTAACTGCCCTACTTCAATCGGTCCGCTGTTAATTTGGTTTTGCAGTATGGGTCTTGGCGGAAATCTCCTCTAAAGACTACATGCGAAGAGCTAATTTAATCGCTCCTGTTTCAGGCGGTGGGGTGCGCTACCAATTTGGGGTTTCATTCAGGAGAATCGTGGTCAGTAGTTTCTGTTTACTACAGTCTAACATCTTTATTTAATTTACCGTCATGTGGGTAAAGGGTCAAAATGTCAATAGAGGTCAACAGGATGAACGCCGCACCTCATGAACCCATTGCTACTGGTGAAATGGTGCTACAAAATCCTTCCGGTTTGAGGCCTGCTAGCTACTACACCCAAGTTTTTAATGGATTGAGTCAAGAGGGAATCCATTTAACAGCCCAGGCAGGACGTGTCTCGAAGGGCCGCCTGTGTGCATCTTTGTTTCTGGGGAAGGAGGCTTAGGAGAGAGCCACTAGCTCCATCTGCATTTGGCATGGGCAGCATTCAAAGCCTGGCCCGTCACAAGCAGCTTGTGTAAGAGCCAGTCATGAGACTGAGGATAACAGCTATATATAACATCTTAGATAGCAGTAGGCTCAAAGGGAACAGGGCACCCAGATAAGAGCCTATTAGCTCGTAAATGCAAGGAATGAATGAGTAACCTGCAGCTTTACTAGAATAGCGACATAACTGAATTGTGCTCAGATCAATCAGTCTATCTATCCATCCATAACAGAAATCCCAGATAACAGTGGTGTCCAGAACCCGTTCAATCTCAGATGCTGCATTTGATGGCCCTGCAGTAGGAAATGATCGACAAATTTATAAAGGTCACACTGTGTCTTTTCTTTTGCTTTTTACATGCTTTGCCTATAATTATCCTTAAATGTATTCATACAATTCACCAGATAGCTTGAAAACATGCCAGTACACTGTCAACAGTGGGTCAGCTTTGCATAGTTGTGTGTTGAAGATCAAGTACTCCTGCGCCACATGGCTAGGGTTGAGTTTTGTACCATGCGTTCGTTGTAAATTAACGCTGATGCATTAAACCTACATGCTAATACGTGCTTGTTTATGAGTGTTAACTTGGTGTGCCCTTGGACTCAGACTCGCTATGCATACTCGTATACGTCAAATGCATACGCAGTTCACCCCTCGCTGCCTGATTTTTGCGTGTAATGACCTTTCTTGTTATGAGAGATTCGTGGAACTTTTTTTTTAATGTTGAGTGAATGGAAAGGTCATTCTTGACTACACAGATCACTGATTAGGCTTTACCGCTTTAGCCTTGAGTAGGTCAGCTACGCTCATTAACTTTTGTTCATTTAATAGCATCAGTCTAGCGCTAACTGCTGGGACATATCTCTTTTGGTGCATTCAAATGTGGCTGGATTTTGTCGCCTCATAATAGTGTGATGATCATGAGAGGTCTGGGTGCAGCGGACTCTGTTAATGGGGTGAACTGGTGGTTTTATCAACGTGTGAGTTATGCAGATGATTCCAGCACGCGTGAACAGCACCTCTGCTGCTTTCCCTCACGAAGCGTGTGCAGCATATGCTGCTACTACAGAACGTCAGCAGCAGTGGAGCTCCATGGCTTCCTTTTGCATTTGCATAGGGATGGGCGGTAAGACCCCAATTTTTATGGTACAAATAACACAATATGAGCAAATTTATATCACTGTAACAGTACATATTGCAATATGTTGTTTTTATACTTGAAATTTATATATACAGTATATATATATATTGATATAGTATGTATATATGGTTGGTGACATGGATTTACTGCTAGTATAACTGGAAAAGCAAAGTCACTTCTTCTGTTTGATGGTATATACGGTCATACCGCCCAGCCCTACCTACACTGCAGCATGCATTCTCGTGCTCGTGACCTTAAACCTTCAGAGTCCAAGGAGCTTTTTATTGATTGATATTGAGACTCTCCATAACACAAAAATATATATATATATATATATATATATATATATATATATTGATATAGTATGTATATATGGTTGGTGACATGGATTTACTGCTAGTATAACCGGAAAAGCAAAGTCACTTCTTCTGTTTGATGGTATATACGGTCATACCGCCCAGCCCTACCTACACTGCAGCATGCATTCTCGTGCTCGTGACCTTAAACCTTCAGAGTCCAAGGAGCTTTTTATTGATTGATATTGAGACTCTCCATAACACAAAAAAGAGAGCAAGAGAGAATAAAAAAAAAAGATTGATTAGCCGGAGCTCTTGTGCTCTTGGGGAGGGGGTCTCAGAGGAAGGAGATGAGACAGTGGCATGTGAGGGGGATGCGTAGAGGCTGCTAAGTGTGTGTGTTTGCATGCTCTCTGTGTGTGTGTGTGTGTGTGTTGGATGATTGGCGAACACTTTCATTACACTTGCATCCGTACACACGTGTGCACATGCACAACACATTCAGGGCATCTCAAGTAGTCCCTTTAAAATGCTGCAGGCAGGAATGGATTTCCTGTTTTTTAATTTTTTACTTTTGCCAGAAGCCTTCCTGCTGTGATTCCTTTGACATTGATTTAAACGTGCATTAATTCAATAAGCACATCGCACAGTATTATTAGGGATAGGGGGATAATAGTATGCAAGTATCCAAGTAAAAATTTAAATTAATTTGTGACCTTTTAGACTGCAAAACAAGCATATGAAAAAATAATGATGATGATATTAATAAATCTTATTATGTTGTTAAATATTATTAATATACCAGACTAATTACACTACTGCTTAGAAGTTTGGGCTCAGTACATTTTTTAAAATAATTAATATATTATTTATAATAAATAAATAATAAAAATTAATACTTTTGTTGTTTTGATTCATTAAACTGATCAATAAGGACATTTATAATGCTACAAATGATTTCGGTTTCAAATAAATTCTGTTGAACTTTCTATTCATCAAATTTGATGAAAAGTATGAATATTTTACAATCTTACTGTTTAGTGCTGTATGTTTAATCAAATAAGTGCAGCATTTCTGAGCATAAGAGACTTTCAAAAAAATTCTTTCAAAAATCTTATCGACCACTAGGGATGTAACGGTATGAAAATGTCTTATCGCGATTATGGTGAAAATTATCACGGTTAACAGTATTATCACAGTATTGTTCAAATGTGCTGGAGATGTTCAAAAAGTACAGACACATAAATCACTTCACTAAGTTTTAGTCAGAACCTTCAGAGGTACATTCATATAATTAATTAATTCATATATTAATTTGTTTAATTCTTTTAAAACCTCCCAGCTTTTCCGCCCTGTTTTCACTCAAAACGAAACTACTCTGAGTGTTGTGCACACATGAGACTGTTATTTACAGTATTTATTTATCGTGAGTTGTTCAAATCGCGGTAATCTAATACGGTTTTAATGATAATTAAAAGATGAAACGGTAATACTAACCGTGGGGAATTTTATCATGATTTATCGTCAAACCGGTAATCGTTACATCCCTACCGACCACAAACTTTTGAATGTAGGGTATAATATATAAATGACTAATCAATGTAATAATAATGTTTTTAAAAATTTAATTAAAATGTAAACTCACAGGTTTTAGCTATATGTATTGGTATCATTCTCTAGTCTCGTTGTTTTCAAGAATTTTTCAACAATAGCTTAGCGAGGCGGTTTAAAATACTGCAGATATAATAAGATTGGGCTGAAACCGTGCAGAGGTATGGGCTACAGTATGTGACCTCGTTTCATCAGAGCTCAGCAGCTGGTAATATGTGCTTTACAGACTCTCTTCGTAAAGTCTTCGCTGTTTGATTCCATGCAGTTCACTGCATTTTAAAACTGTGACATTAATGGCACCCTGTAAGTTGCCTGCTCGTTTTTGCACCCGCTATTCCAGGCCTAGTGTAAGAAAATAAAGGGAACTGAATAAGCTCAATCATCATCTGTGTGAAACAGAGAGGGGAGAATTCGTGCAAACAGTCATCAAAAATGCATGGCAGCGGCCCTGTAGAATATTGATGCTACGGCCTCCTGTAAACCGAGGCAGCATCACACCAGGTGTCCTCCAGGAATCCTCTCCACAAACAGACACTAACGGGTGGGGTGCGCTAGCCAAATGATCCAGTGCGACATGGAGATATTAAGGCATGTGTGGTTTTCTGCCGTACCCCTGGGGTTTAGACAACTTCCCTTCTCACAGTGCTTATTGACACAGACACACACGCACGGTTCATTATATCTCTCACTCTCACACACACACTTTATCTCTCTTCTCGATCACACATGCAAAGGAAGTGCAAAACGGCATATTTTCAAGATCAGCTAGCATGAGGGTTGACGGAACAACTAGTCGACTGATGTGTTTTAAGGAAGGCCTATAATTAAACTGGTTTGGGTTCACCTGACCGCAATCAGACGCACGTTTCAAAGGGACCTTTACGTAAGACACGTTCTTATGTTCAAAAGTGCTTAGATGGAGCGAAAGAGAAAGCATGGGTCTTGAGAAAAGTCATTTTGAGACTATTTTTAGTGTAAAACACTCACAAAAATGCTGCTTTTAAGGCGCAAGCGAGTTTTACTGTGAAAATCGTCTAAAGTTTACAAGCATGTTAAATAAAGCACAGACGCTCTAAATATCGAAAACATCTAGTTTTTCCATGACTTATTTCTATTTCTTAGTAGTTTCCTCTGACAACAAACCCAAAACCCATAGCTATGGTTTTTAATTCAAGGATGTGCAACCGTTGCTAAATCCAGGGTCAGCTTTTCTTCTACTTTCAACTCCCAGTTCATTAGCTGTAATGAAGTTGTGCTGAGGGTTAGTACTAATTCAGATGACTGTTACGAGCTCAGGATCTTCACAGTCACGGCATGTGTATTGATTTCCCAGCATTTACGGCGGAATGCATTCTTTTTAGATTTAGTGTCCTCTGATGTTGGCCTTTTGACCTATCATTTTTTCTCCCTTTCGTTCTCAGTATGGGGAAGAGGAGGTCTGCTCAGACCGCCTGGATGCTGACTTCCCTGACTTTGACCTCTCGCAGCTGGACGCCAGTGATTTTGACTCAGTGAACTGCCTCAGTGAGCTGCATTGGTGCAACGAGCACTCAGATCACTCCCCTGCCTCCATACAGTACAGCGGCGGGAACCCAGAGCTATTCGAGGTGGGAACCGTCATCTGAACTTCCTTTATTGTGCAATGTAGATTGTGATGATTAGTAGTATTTGTAATTCTTCAGTAAATCTCTGTCCCAAATGATGCACTTGAAATGAATCCATCCAGAATTATGTCAAGATTGGACTTGAAGGGCTGTAAGGGCTGAGGGCAAAATTTGGGAAAGGCATTAGTCTTAAAGGGATAGTACATGCAAAAATGAAAATTCTGTCATAATTCACTGAATAGCATGCACGTGATAGCATGTAGGTTTAATGCATCAGCGTTAATATACAACAAACGCATGGTACAAAAATTCTCTTTTTTAATATATATATTTTTGTCAATCTAATGAAGGTCCAAGGAACCAAAATTTTCAAGCATCAAAAAGTAAAACAAGACATTTGAAAAATAATCAATATGAATCGAGTGCTTTAATCTAAGTCTCCAGAAGAGACTTGATTGCTTTATATGACGAACAGATTTAATTTAGGCTTTTATTCACATATAAACTTTGATCAATGCACATATATAGAGCACATCAACTATGGTATGCCAGAATAAACCTCATAGATTGTTTACCATATTTGATGTGAATTATGTATATGCATTCATACATGTTAATAAAAACCTTTTATGTTTAAAATGTCTTTTCGTACATTTTGATGCATGAAAGTTTTGGTTGCATGGACAGTATTAAATTATTAAGAATATTAGAATATATGCTTTCATTTGAGTGTCAAAGATGAAGGGTAAATTATGACAGAATTTCCATTTTTGGGTGAAATAAAGCCTAGTTCAGTAAACCTTTTACTGTACGACAATGGTGTAAGATTAAATCTAACTACTAGTCAAAGCCATGGCATAGTGGTTAGTACAAATACACATTCTGATGTTATTTTGAGCCATGGTGCTCATGTGGGTGTTGCGGGTTTGAGTCTGGCCTGCAACGGTTTCAATCCTGATTTTCCCTTCTTTTATGAATAACCTCTGTCCACTGTTTCCATCTTATAAAGAGGTAGAAAATAGTAGACGTATACAAACTGTGTAAGTGTAGGTTTTCCTTATCTTTGCTTTGCAAAGCATTTGCCTTCATTTCTTTCTCGTTGTTTCAGGAAGAAAATGCGGCACTGCTCGCTGCCCTCACAGACAGCCTGGACGGCATTGTTGAGGACGGAGTCGGGGGTCTGTCTGTGTTCCCTTCGCTGGGGGACGACCCTGAGGAGGGCGAGGAGGAGGAAGATGACCTCCCTTTGGACAGTGAGCCCCTCCCTGGCTCATTGAGCCCAGAGACAGAAGACCCATCTCTAGTAAGAACCCTTCCTTCCTGTTTAAGGTGGATTTGGATGGGCCTCTGACTACCCCACAGCATGGGTATGATAGGCAACACAGGTCTGAATTTTTCTCATTTTGGGCTTTTTGTTTCATTTTAAGCTACCGATCTAACAAGAATCCTCTTCACAGGCAGGGGTGTGGAACATGGACACCGCTTTTTCTAGGCTTTCATTTTGCCACACATCCCATTGCTCTCATCTTCTTCTGAGCCTTATAAGAAAGTACTGTGGTGATACCATGGTATTGTGATAGTATCTGATGGCAATAGCATGGTGCTTTGATATATTCCATGGCAGTGTATGAATACCATGCTATTGAAATTGCACACTGCCATTCAAAACTGTGGGTCAGTAAGATTTTTGCCATCACAGGAATAATTTACATTCAAAATATAACGATTCACTCAACTCACAATGCGATACGATTGGATTCACAATGCGATTTTCTCAAAAACAATTTAACAAAATGAGATATAAGATAACAATCTTACCTTTTTACTGTATTTATGATCAAATAAATGTAGCTAAACTTTTAAACAATAGTGTACTTCAGAAAATCCCATTGCATTACCATTGTGATACCATGGTACTTTTTTAAGGGAATGCTTATGTGTACTTCCCAGATCTTTGATTCCTTCAGGTCACGAAATGGACTTCTACATCAGTGCTCTTTGCTCCTTTTTCCCACCTTTTGTGAGAGAACTCAACTCTCATCTCTTTCTAAAGACGCCACTTCCTGGAACAAGTTGGTGTGTTTGTTATCTATCCCTCTCAGCTCACAAGCCCCAACAATTGAATCTGTGTACATTGTAAAAGCAGTTATAACAGTTATTACCCGTTGGACAGCTTTTCATTTTTACTTTCTTCTTTTTTTCCCCCTTTTTCTCACTGCTCTTTCCTGTAACGCTGAACAATGGGTTGGCATGGCTGTATTGTAATGTAGCTGTTTTTCCAGTTTGTCGTGTGTTTTGTGATTTTTTTTTTTTTTTTTTACCTTAGAGACTGGTAGTACTTACGTTAATGACTGTCTTACATTTCACTGAATACCTTTCAGAATTGACATTGTTCTGGGATCGCATTGTTTGGCGCCGATGAAAGAGCACCATCTGATTACTGAGATAATCATTGCCTCAGAGACCAGTGATTTTGACTCAGTGAACTGCCTCAGTGAGCTGCATTGGTGCAACGAGCACTCAGATCACTCCCCTGCCTCCATACAGTACAGCGGCGGGAACCCAGAGCTATTCGAGGTGGGAACCGTCATCTGAACTTCCTTTATTGTGCAATGTAGATTGTGATGATTAGTAGTATTTGTAATTCTTCAGTAAATCTCTGTCCCAAATGATGCACTTGAAATGAATCCATCCAGAATTATGTCAAGATTGGACTTGAAGGGCTGTAAGGGCTGAGGGCAAAATTTGGGAAAGGCATTAGTCTTAAAGGGATAGTACATGCAAAAATGAAAATTCTGTCATAATTCACTGAATAGCATGCACGTGATAGCATGTAGGTTTAATGCATCAGCGTTAATATACAACAAACGCATGGTACAAAAATTCTCTTTTTTAATATATATATTTTTGTCAATCTAATGAAGGTCCAAGGAACCAAAATTTTCAAGCATCAAAAAGTAAAACAAGACATTTGAAAAATAATCAATATGAATCGAGTGCTTTAATCTAAGTCTCCAGAAGAGACTTGATTGCTTTATATGACGAACAGATTTAATTTAGGCTTTTATTCACATATAAACTTTGATCAATGCACATATATAGAGCACATCAACTATGGTATGCCAGAATAAACCTCATAGATTGTTTACCATATTTGATGTGAATTATGTATATGCATTCATACATGTTAATAAAAACCTTTTATGTTTAAAATGTCTTTTCGTACATTTTGATGCATGAACGTTTTGGTTGCATGGACAGTATTAAATTATTAAGAATATTAGAATATATGCTTTCATTTGAGTGTCAAAGATGAAGGGTAAATTATGACAGAATTTCCATTTTTGGGTGAAATAAAGCCAAGTTCAGTAAACCTTTTACTGTACGACAATGGTGTAAGATTAAATCTAACTACTAGTCAAAGCCATGGCATAGTGGTTAGTACAAATACACATTCTGATGTTATTTTGAGCCATGGTGCTCATGTGGGTGTTGCGGGTTTGAGTCTGGCCTGCAACGGTTTCAATCCTGATTTTCCCTTCTTTTATGAATAACCTCTGTCCACTGTTTCCATCTTATAAAGAGGTAGAAAATAGTAGACGTATACAAACTGTGTAAGTGTAGGTTTTCCTTATCTTTGCTTTGCAAAGCATTTGCCTTCATTTCTTTCTCGTTGTTTCAGGAAGAAAATGCGGCACTGCTCGCTGCCCTCACAGACAGCCTGGACGGCATTGTTGAGGACGGAGTCGGGGGTCTGTCTGTGTTCCCTTCGCTGGGGGACGACCCTGAGGAGGGCGAGGAGGAGGAAGATGACCTCCCTTTGGACAGTGAGCCCCTCCCTGGCTCATTGAGCCCAGAGACAGAAGACCCATCTCTAGTAAGAACCCTTCCTTCCTGTTTAAGGTGGATTTGGATGGGCCTCTGACTACCCCACAGCATGGGTATGATAGGCAACACAGGTCTGAATTTTTCTCATTTTGGGCTTTTTGTTTCATTTTAAGCTACCGATCTAACAAGAATCCTCTTCACAGGCAGGGGTGTGGAACATGGACACCGCTTTTTCTAGGCTTTCATTTTGCCACACATCCCATTGCTCTCATCTTCTTCTGAGCCTTATAAGAAAGTACTGTGGTGATACCATGGTATTGTGATAGTATCTGATGGCAATAGCATGGTGCTTTGATATATTCCATGGCAGTGTATGAATACCATGCTATTGAAATTGCACACTGCCATTCAAAACTGTGGGTCAGTAAGATTTTTGCCATCACAGGAATAATTTACATTCAAAATATAACGATTCACTCAACTCACAATGCGATACGATTGGATTCACAATGCGATTTTCTCAAAAACAATTTAACAAAATGAGATATAAGATAACAATCTTACCTTTTTACTGTATTTATGATCAAATAAATGTAGCTAAACTTTTAAACAATAGTGTACTTCAGAAAATCCCATTGCATTACCATTGTGATACCATGGTACTTTTTTAAGGGAATGCTTATGTGTACTTCCCAGATCTTTGATTCCTTCAGGTCACGAAATGGACTTCTACATCAGTGCTCTTTGCTCCTTTTTCCCACCTTTTGTGAGAGAACTCAACTCTCATCTCTTTCTAAAGACGCCACTTCCTGGAACAAGTTGGTGTGTTTGTTATCTATCCCTCTCAGCTCACAAGCCCCAACAATTGAATCTGTGTACATTGTAAAAGCAGTTATAACAGTTATTATCCGTTGGACAGCTTTTCATTTTTACTTTCTTCTTTTTTTCCCCCTTTTTCTCACTGCTCTTTCCTGTAACGCTGAACAATGGGTTGGCATGGCTGTATTGTAATGTAGCTGTTTTTCCAGTTTGTCGTGTGTTTTGTGATTTTTTATTTTTTTTTTTACCTTAGAGACTGGTAGTACTTACGTTAATGACTGTCTTACATTTCACTGAATACCTTTCAGAATTGACATTGTTCTGGGATCGCATTGTTTGGCGCCGATGAAAGAGCACCATCTGATTACTGAGATAATCATTGCCTCAGAGATACCAAAAAAGGCTAACTTACAGAGTGTAGCAGCAAATTATATAAGAGATGTCTGAAGGAGGGACAAATTATTCTTAAATTGATGAAAATTATGTATATCCATCTGTGAATAAGACTACTTTTATGGTGCCACTAGGGTTGGAAATACCTGTAAATATAACCTGTTAACAGTTTGTAGTTTTGCCATGAAAACTATTAATTTACAATCACACGGAACATGGAAAAAGTTCTAAACAAAACATTTCACAGAAGTGAAATATTACTCAAAAGTAATACTTTGCAGTAAGGTTCAATACATTATACATATATTAAAAATACTGTATATGTATCTATACAGTGTATTTATACATATATATATATATTAGGGCTGTCAAAGTAGCTGAAAAACTGAATTCGAATTTTTTACTTAAATATGATCAAAATTCGAATTATATTCTAATTTAAAATGCATGATTTCAGTTTGAGTGAAGAAAAACTTTTGGCTTCTCTCCTGAGGCCACAAGAGGGCGCATCGAGCAAAATATTACTAATGCACGTTTATTCAAAGTGCATAATGTTTAAAATAATGTTTATAAACCAATTATAATTAAGTTGCTTAAACAACTATAAACAAAACAGCATCATGTATATACGCATAGTTTAATGCAAAGGTCCGAAATCACACAGAGTACATTTTTCATTTAAAAACACGAGATGCAGTGGGATGGGGAAAAAAAACCCGCCGTAAAGTCTCGAGGTATGTTTTTTAAAAGTTGAACTTGCATTCATTTTACATGGCTTTCTAAACATGCGGCTCCTTTGTGCGAGATGGGAGTGTGAAGGAGGGACAAATTATTCTTAAATTGATGAAAATTATGTATATCCATCTGTGAATAAGACTACTTTTATGGTGCCACTAGGGTTGGAAATACCTGTAAATATAACCTGTTAACAGTTTGTAGTTTTGCCATGAAAACTATTAATTTACAATCACACGGAACATGGAAAAAGTTCTAAACAAAACATTTCACAGAAGTGAAATATTACTCAAAAGTAATACTTTGCAGTAAGGTTCAATACATTATACATATATTAAAAATACTGTATATGTATCTATACAGTGTATTTATACATATATATATATATTAGGGCTGTCAAAGTAGCTGAAAAACTGAATTCGAATTTTTTACTTAAATATGATCAAAATTCGAATTATATTCTAATTTAAAATGCATGATTTCAGTTTGAGTGAAGAAAAACTTTTGGCTTCTCTCCTGAGGCCACAAGAGGGCGCATCGAGCAAAATATTACTAATGCACGTTTATTCAAAGTGCATAATGTTTAAAATAATGTTTATAAACCAATTATAATTAAGTTGCTTAAACAACTATAAACAAAACAGCATCATGTATGTACGCATAGTTTAATACAAAGGACCGAAATCACACAGAGTACATTTTTCATTTAAAAACACGAGATGCAGTGGGATGGGGAAAAAAAACCCGCCGTAAAGTCTCGAGGTATGTTTTTTAAAAGTTGAACTTGCATTCATTTTACATGGCTTTCTAAACATGCGGCTCCTTTGTGCGAGATGGGAGTGCAACGGTGATAGACGTCCCTCTAGAAAATGCGTGAAATATGCGTTCTGTGTGAACGGCTTGGTTTCAGTTTTGACGTAAACAAGATCTCCGCATTGATGTTTCTCCAACGTTTTTGTATTCGAATGTGGATTTTTATTTTAAATTCGACGAATATTCGAAATTCGAATTTTTTTTGACAGCCCAAATATATATATATTGTGCATTAACTGACACTGAAATATACTATCATTCATCATGAATTAATGTGTTCATAATGCATTGATATTAATTAATACAACTTGAAATATTAAAAAATATGTTCAGTCTGTTCAACGACGTGACACTGAAGAGTAATGACTGCTGAAAATTCTGCATTGCATCACAGGAATAAATTACATTTTAAAATGTTATATAATTATTCAATTCTATTATTATTATGAAAATATAATAATTATTATATTCATAAAATAGAAAACAGTGAAATTGCAATGATATTTCACTGCTTTTACTGTATTTGTGTTCAAATAAATGCAGCCTTGGTGAAAATAATAGGCTTTTTATAAATAAATACACACAGACTTTTGAATGGTAGTGTATATAAACGAGTTAACATTCACCAAGATTAATACATTTTATAAGAGTATTGTTATGGTTATTTCATGTTAACTATTTCAGTAACTAATGTTAACAAATTGAACCTTATTGTAAAGTTCCAAAATATGATTAATAAAGTTACTGTCGACAGATGCATTTCTCTGTTAGATGATTTGGTAACAATGGAATTGTTTCAGTGTAATTTAGCTTCCTCCTTGAGTCTCAGTGTAAGAGTTTAGTCTGGGTGTAATAGCTGAGATCCCCCTCTGCTGGCAATGGCCGCAGTTACACCTCAGCCCCTAAATGAGGCCAGTCTGTGTGCAAAACAAGGGGTGCATTGAAGACCCACGAACAGGGACAGCAGAGCACATGTTTTCATGACATAGATGGCCAGTGCATGCCAAAACGGTTTGGTACGCAGAAGCTGAAACGCTCAGTGCCCCTTCAGGTTCCTCAATGGACACTGAGAGACATGGACAGACCTGCCAAGTTGGCACATTAACAATCGCTTAAGGGACTCAACAACACTGTGCTTCTTCTTTCTTTGCTTTCTCTAGTTGCGCTGGTCATTTGGGACTTGCATTTCAGATTTTCTTGAATATCCAGTAACTTTTAATGTCTTGTTCTTACAGTGGCTACAGCACAGAACTGCTTGACACTTGCTTTTGTTGTTGTATTTGAGTACTGAATGTCAACATGGCAATATTTCTTGATTTTGTGTGTAATTTTAAATGCACCATGGATCATCAAATTATAACCCCTGGCCTCTCATTCCCTCCACAGCTCAAAAAGCTCTTGTTGTCGCCCCCTAATGTCCCCGCGGGCCTCGATTCGCACAAAGACGTGCATCGCCATAGCAGCAGGAGCCAGCACGTCAAACCCGTGAGGCCTGTGCTCAAGGTGAGAGGAAGTTCCAGCCGCCGTGATTGCAGTTTAAACTCAAAACATGTGATGCAGTGTCATAATAGGAAATGGATTTAACAACCTCAGTGTTAGCACGCATGCTATTCACTACCGGTTTACGCTGTGGCATATTCCCACAGCAATGCTAATGCCTAATTAGCTTATGCCAGCCTTTAGAAACCACACTGAGGATTTGTGCTTCAAAGTTTCAAAGCCTGTGAAGCCTGTGGTTCCTCATTCACTGGCTCCGCTTTGGCACGCCGCACCTCGGCTAAGGCCGCTGTCGCATTAGAGTTGAGTGCAGCCATCTGTCATAGCAAAGCCACAGCCTCTGCCCAGCCTAAAGGGCAATGTTCACTGGGTTTGAGATTATTTAAAAGAACAAGCAGTAGTTCCTCAGATACCAAGAGAATATCTTGCAACTAACCTTGGCAAATTTGTCACAGTAACCTTAGAGCGAAGTACGCTCTGAAATAGACTTTAGGGGTTTCAGCTGCCCCGCGTGCCTCGCGTGTTTGGTCAGCTCATAAGGCCGTTACAAAAGATAGCTCGCTACATACCACTGATGAATGCCATGAGCAAATGCTTAACACTATAACCGTTTCGAAGTTTTTTTTTTTCATTTTTATTACTTCTGTCATTATAGTGCTACAACAGTTTTGGCACATGTGGTTTATTTTATTTTAAATTGATTTTTTTTTTTTTTATTGTTGTAAAACATTAAAATCTGATTAGATTTCTGTAAAATGTGATTGGAGCTGATTTATTGTTGTTATTTTAATAATTGAGTAAATAATATATACTACTATAATAAAGTTAGAATAAACAATAAACAAAAAAAAGCTTTTCTTTGTGTATGTGTGGTTTTGAAAGAAATGTCATATACTTGACAATTAATTGATCAAGTATTGAGACCAGTAATATTCTAAAATGTTATTATAACTTAAAGTATCAGTTTTCTGATTTCATGTATTTTAAAATATTTTTATTCCTGTGATCAAAGCTGAATTTTCAGTATCATTACTCCAGTCTTCAGTGTCACATGATCCTTCAGAAATCATTCTAATATGCTGATTTGCTGCTCAAGAAACATTTCTGATTATTATCAATGTTGAAAACAGTCGTGCTGCTTCAAATTTTTGTGGAAAGTTCAAAAGAACAGCATTTATTTGAAATATAAATCTTTTGTAACATTATAAGAGTCTTTAGTGTCACTTTTGATCAATTTAATCAAATGTCCTTGCTGAATAAAAATATTAATTATTGACCCAAAACTTTTGAATGGTTGTGTACATTTTAAATAATTGTTTCTTTAGTGAAAAATATTGTCCTGTACTGTTGACAGCTTTTCATAAAAGCAGTAATTCACTTGAGGCTGCGTGTAACAGCGATTTTACCGCATATCTCAAGCATAATTAAATCAAGTAATGGACAGGCTCTTGAGTTGCTCTCTTATTGCTTTATTATGTTTCAGTTGTATTTAATATGAAAAGATTAAATGAAATGTCTCCTCCTCCCTCCGCAGAAGGACAAATCAAGCACACAGGAGCGTAAGCCACGACCAGTGAGGCCCTCCGGTCGTCTTTGCACTGAACTCCACCGCCACCTCACCACCGCACCTTCAGCTGACACAGAGGAAGAGGAGGAAGATGAAGAGGACAGTGACTCGGAGGAGGAGGAAGAGGAGGAGTCATCCAGCAGCGAGGGCGAGAGCATGGTGTGCGTTGAGCCGGCAAAGCCTCAGTTCTCCTCGGAGAAGGAACTGCTCTCTGTAGTGGAGCTCATCAAATACATGCACACGTACTGCCTGCCCATACGCAAACAGGCCAGCTGGGATCGCAAAGAGCGTAAGGCCAAGCCTGAGAGCTCGCAGGTCTCCCGCAGCCTTCCTGTGAACTCTCAGAAACCGGCTCCGCAGACCAGGCCGAGGGCTCCTTTCACTCGCCGCAGGGAAATCAAAGCCCACTCCCTGCTGAAGGAGCTGCTAGAGGCCGTCAGCTCATTTGACGTAAGCAAGCCTTACAGAATGCACAGCCCCCCTTATATCCACTGCAGAGGGGCTGCGACTCGGCTCGGCACTGACCTTTCTTCCTCCTCTGCACGTCAGCCCAAAGCCGAACCTAAAGACTCGGACTCCGAGAACTGGCAGAAGGCCGCAAAGCGCACCAAGAGCCCCGAGCCAGAAGAAGGCTCCTTTTCGGTCAGGCGTTCTCGCCGGCTGGCCTCCTTCCCCAGCCGATTCGCTAAAAAAGTGCGTGTGAACTGTGGCCGGTCGGAACCCAGTGTTGTGCAATCGAGCGAAGAGGAGAACGCGGTCAAGCATCCTCCCGCTGAGCCTCCTTCTGATAGCAGGCAGAAGAGCAGCTCCCACAAGGCGTTTGAAGCCCATAACCCATGCTGCAGTGATGGTAAGACATTAGTCACCTGAACAGCACACGAGGGAAACATACTGCAAGTTCCCTCCTAAAACTATAGATTCACATGACAAAGACTTATTATTTATGCATGTATTTATTTTTGTGTATCTGAATCTGTTATTTATTTTAAAAAAAAAATGCGTGTGTAATTCATGATTCATGGTTAAATAATTTTCAGTTCAGTTGCTGAATTAAAATGTAATCAAATATCAGTTTAGATTTATATCAAAAATAGTTATGATTTATATCGAATATAAATTTGACAAATTTGAATCTCTTTGAATGACCAAAAAATAAATACATAAAAAAAAAATATATATATATATATATATATATATAAATATTAATATTTAGAAAACTTGTGCCTTGTGGAACAAAAAATAAAAAAATAAAAAAAAAAAAAAAATATATATATATATATATATATATATAAATATTAATATTTAGAAAACTTGTGCCTTGTGCCCTCGGTCAAGTGTGCAAATAGTAAGTCATATTTGTGGCAAAAATAACATTACATTAAATTTATAAAATAATAAAATATAAATAAAAGTATTCATTATTAAATAATTAAAAAAAAAAACTTTTTAAACATTATTCCTCAAAAATAAAACATTTTAGTTCAGTGGTTCTTTTAGAAAAACATCTGTTTACTGTTGCTTTTATGTATATATTTTTTTATATATAATTTACATATATATTATTTTGTCATTTATATATTTTAAATTTATATATTTATATTTGTCAGTAGATTTAAACTTTTCTTTCCTTAAAGAACTTTTTTTGTTTTTGTTGTTTTAGAAAAACTTCTGTTTACTGTTGGTATTGTGTGTGTGTGTGTGTGTGTGTGTATATTATTCTATGTAATTTATATAGATTGATTTCATAATTTATATAGATTTAAATAAATTTATATTTGTCAGTAGATTTTAACTTCATCTTTCCTCAAGGAACTTTTTTGTTCTGTAGTTCTTTTGAAAACCATCTATTTAGTGGTGCTTTTAAGAACCCAGAAACCGGATGCTGTGAACAACTTATAATGTACTATTAAGCATGATTTTAATATTCAGAGAGCCAGCTCAGGAACTCTACTGCGTGTGCTGTTGAGATCTCTAACATCTGTCTGTCGTTCTGATTGCAGAGAAACGCTCCTGCCTCTGTTTGCCGCTGGTGTCCAAATCCAACGGGTGTGTGTTCCTTTCATATCTAATCTATTCTTGAGCCCTGGAACACTTCCAGGCCGACAGTTTAAGACCACCGCTAGACTCGTCCATCTTCAAAATTGCCTAGAGGAGGCTTGTAGAGCTGCTGTTTTTACATACAAAACTCTCACAGTAAAACTTTTCTATAAATAGCCCTGAGGTTCTTCTAACAATTACAGTCATTTGTTGTTCTCTGCATATACATAGCTCAGACACGGTGTGAAGTAAAACAACCGAGATCAATCAAACCCTGCTCCAAATGTCATTAGTAGACAAATATAAACCTCTAAAACTGATGCATTTAGTTGAGACTGTATCATTTCCTCTCTCTCTCTCTCTCTCTCTCTCTCTGTTTTTCTTGTCCATGTAAGGGTTTAATAGACTGCAATCTCTTTCTGTATTTCTCTGATCAGAGACGTGCAGTATGCCAACAAGCCCTTTGAGCAGACTCTCTCTGTGGAACTGTGTGGCACAGCAGGTAATATTGCGCACTCAGTGAGGGGTATTTTTATAAGTGTGCCGTTTTTGGCATTGTGTGAGCTATTAGCACTTGATTCACCTCATATGTTCTCACACATGCTAGTTTCTTGCCAGTATTTGCACAGGATTTATGTAGCTGATGACGTGTCTGAATTAGGCTAGTGAATGTCTAAATGAACTGAATGGTAAACTTTGTGTTTTTACTGGGCCCTGTCCAAACACATGTTCAAGCATTTACATAAAAGAAGATTATTCTGTATATTTATGCTACTGTTGAAAAGTTTGGTGTCAGTAAGATTTTTTCAAATGTTTTTGAAAAAAGATGCTCACCAAGGCTGCATTTATTTGATGAAAAACCGTAATATTGTGAAATATTATTACAATTTAAAATAACTGTTTTCTATTTTACTATATTTTAAAATGTAATTTATTCCTGTGATCAAAGCTGAATTTTCAGCATCATTACTCCAGTCTTCAGTGTCGCATGATCCTTCAGAAATCATTCTAATATGCTGATTTGCTGCTCAAGATACATTTCTGATTAATATTTAATATTAATATTCATGTGCAAACTGTTATACTTCTATACAGGATTCTTTTTTTCAGTATAAATAGATCGAAAGGACAGTATTTATTTGAAGTTGAAATCTTTAGTAACATTATAAATGTGTTTACTGTCACTTTTAATCAATCGAATGTATCATCGCTGAATTAAAAGAAAAAAATGTCAACAGTGACGTGTACATATGTAACATTTCTGAAGTTTAATGCTTAGTTTTAGAGGTTTGTATGAGCAATAGCACTGGAGATAATTGCGTTAGCAACCACCACTACTAATAACTGATTCAAGTTAATCTTTCATTATTATATATTAGGGATGCACCGATATGAAAATTTTGGCCGATACCGATAACCGATTACTCTTTATTTTTGAAAGCCGATCTCTTTTAACTTAACCAAACGCATTCTATATGAGATAAATCAGATATACATCAAATAAACACAATATTACAACGTACAATTGCACAAAAGGCTGCAAACGAACAGCGCGCATCTGAAGTGTCTCTGAAGGAAATAATGCATTATTTATCGGCTTTAAGATCGGCCAAATTTTCTTATCAGGCCGATACCTATAACAGAAAAAATGAGCATTTATCGGCCGATACCGATATGGTGGCCGATATATCGTGCATCCCTATTATATATTATAAATGCTTCATATTATGTATGACTCCTTTTGTAAGCTTCATTAATGATGTTCATTTTCTGCCTGTTGTGCGCTGCGACTAATAACATAATGTTTGGTGATATTCGAGTGCGTTTGGTCGTGGCGCTCATGTGTGTGTCGTAGTGATTAATGAGTGTGTGTTTTCCAGGCCTGACTCCCCCCACCACACCCCCTCATAAACCAGTGGAGGACGAGCTCTTCAAACCAGATGGAAAAGCTGAGCTCACCACCAAGAGCTCTTGCCTGGCACGGGCGCACATACGCAAGCTCCCAGAGCAGACGGAGCTGTACGCCCAGCTGCGCCGGATGGGCCAAACGGGCGACTCGGACGCTAAGGGAGGGACGCAACGGGTGTACGGGGACCACGATTACTGCCTGTTGGGCCTGGGAGAGAGTTGCAAGGCGATGGCAGCTGTACTAGGCTCTCAGTGCCGTGTGGAGGTGCATGAGAAGGAGGAGATGGCTGTGAAGAATGGGGAGCTGGAGGGACTGGAGGAGAGGCTCCTAACTGATTGCCAGCAAAGGACTGAGGCTGATTCGCCCGTGGCGTTGTCTACGCCCGGTCCAGAGCAGACCAGTCAACCCTCACCTGTCCGCACTCCCACCCCCGAGCTGGATGCCCAGTCCCCAGTTTCCAGTTCGCCCCCCTCCCCAGGCTGCAAACTCCCCTTCAGGTACTGAATACTCCGGTGCTTTTTCCATTGTTGCGTTTCATTGATCTCAGAAATTCGGAACTTCTAACTTTGAAAAGTGCAATAGAATGCCACTTATGTGAAGCCCAAATGTGTGTGTATGATGTCTAGGGCCCAGGCACGGCACCAGAATTTTTTCTCTACCGGTGCTAAGGGGGGCTAGACCAATATGTGGGGGTGTTAAGAAAATAAATGATATTGATGACGTCAGAGTAAACCGGGGCTATTCAAAATTCTGACAGGGCTATAGCCCCCCCTAGCCCCGGTGTAGCGTCATCACTGCTAGGGCAGATAATAGACAACTAAACATTAGTCGACCTGAATAATAGTTAGTTAGTCATAGAAAAAAAATAAAATGGACAGATTGTTAACGGATGGTCCTTGAGATAATCACAGTATATCGGGTTGGAAATCCAAACTTTCGTCTAGCATTAATCGAACTCAAATATGTCTTATCATTTTGAATTTAAAGGGGTCATATGATGCTGCTAAAAAGAACATTATTTTGTGTATTTGGTGTAATGAAATGTTTATGCGGTTTAAGTTTCAAAAAACACATTATTTTCCACATACTGTACATTATTGTTTCTCCTCTATGCCCCGCCTTTCTGAAACGCGTCGATTTTTACCAATCTCATCATTCTAAAAAAAGCGAGGTGTGCTCTGATTGGCCAGCTATCCAGTGTGTTGTGATTGGCCGAATTCCTCAAGCGTGTGACGGAAATGTTACACCCCTCACCATATTGTGATGCCTGCGGCAACCACATGTGACGACCCCGGGCTGGACTCCACTTCGTCCACAGTGAAAGCCGATCCGGCGATCCACAGCGAAGTTGATGTATTTCCTCAGCGACCAGCACGGATCAGCTCCAGGAATGATGAAGCAGATATCGTCCTCTTTTGGAAGACCAAACAAAGTAATTTCGCTTTCACAACAAAGCACACAGCGTCTTCACGACATGGCGGCGGCGGCAACAACAATACTACTGCGAGAATAAAAGTTACACCTTCTTTCTTTGCGTGAACATTTGAGCGGCGTTATGCAAATCTTCCCACATCGTGACGTAGACATGTGGGGGCGTGTTAGAACGAGCCGTTTTAGGTAGGCGTGGCTGACTCTTAACTTTTATAAAGAATACCTCTTTGGATTTGAGACTTTAGTCTTTGCAACTTTACAGATCTTCTTTATGCACCAAGAGCTTGTAACACTCCAAAGAGAAAGGAAAAATTGAAATCGCATCATATGACCCCTTTAAACTTGTAAGGTAGTAGCAGCTTTACATGGCCGCTCGCTCTAACGTAAACCTAGATAAATGTGGAGTGTGGAAGCTGTTAGAGCGCCACTGCATGACATGGAGGCGCCGGTGCGATCACTTGTGTTTGTTCCTCATAACAGTGGAAACAAAATGCACCGTCATTTTTGCTCATGCAGATAAGAGTAATACATCATTCGAAACTGTAAAGGGTCTGCTTTTATTTGTGTACACTCACAATGTCAACAAGATGTTATGTTTTTGTAAAATAAAGAAAGCAAACAGGGCGTGCTTTCTGCTGTCTCGGTCTCCGTGAGCTGGAGCACGTCACAATAATGAACCAAAACTCAGCATATAGGCTACTTGAAGGTTGAAAAAAAAGCTTGACTTTTAAAACAAACCAATTCAAATCCAATACTCTTTATGTAATCCGTATGAAAGGTGTATTTCTCTCTGAAGGCGTTAACTTCATCTCTGCAGCCGACACGGACTCAGACAACACTAGTTTACTAATAAATAATTCAAATATCTCTTTATTGTCTATAAATATGGTCTATATCAACATCATGTGGAAACAAGCACCCAAAATGGCAGCTATAACCATAACAAAACAGAAGAACAATATTACTGGAATCACTCTCAGAATGACTTTTTCCAACTGATGAATGATAAAACATTGTCAGCCAATCAGAATCCACCTGACTTTAAAGAGCTGAGCATTTAAAACAGCGGACAACAAAACTAAAACTAAGACAGAACTAATATAGTTCTCATTACAGCTATCCTAATAGTGAACAGGCCTTTAGTCTGGTTTTGTGTATTGATTATTCAGATTACATGGATATTACAATTTTAATAGTGTTGCCACAGAAATGCATAATTCTGAGAAAGCAAACAGGGTCCTGGCTTGCCATTAATTATGGTAATTACAGCATGGTGTGAACGCAGCATGAGTTAAAGTTCCTGCATCACATCAGAAATGTTTGGCAGTGATATAGATGTTAAAAAAGTGTAAACCTGCAGTATCACTGCCAACAAAAAAAAAGATTTTCTTATTTAGTATTTTTTTCTTGTTTTTAGTACACACACCTCTATGTTTGGAAATCAGAGATATCACCCTTATGAAAATTAACCATGTTTTTATTACAGTAAAAGTGTAGTACCCATGTTTTTTTGGTGTATTGATTACCGTTTGTATAACCACAGTTTTACTACAAATACCATGGTTAAACTATTGTTAGTGTAGCAAAACCATGGTTAATTTGTGGTTACCATGGTTTAACTATAGTAAGCATGTTTTTTTTGTTTTTTTGTAGTAAACCAATGGTTAATTTTAATAAGGGGAGAAATATCCTACCTGTACATCTGCCTTTGAATGAAATGCAGCACAAATCCCAGTGCCGCTGCTATTAGCAATATGCTAACTACTTTCTTTTTCAATTTATTAGCCATTTTGCGTAAGTCAGCCCTGTTCTCCTTCTTTCAGCGATGAGAGCTCAGAGACATGCCACGGAGCAGCTGAGAAAAGGAGCAAGACAAAGTGTGGACTAGAGAATGATGTGGTAAGGTCGTGTTTTCAAACCGATTTTATTAGTCGCAGCACTAACCTCATTATCAAAGCCGTAGATGCATCTGATGTCTGATTCGTTTCCTTTAAGTGCCGTCGAGTGTATTTATTCTAATCCGCTGTGCATTTGCAGAACAAGTGCCAAGTGATCTACATTCACAACCTTCCGAGCAGCGTCACTCAGTCCATGCTGCGTAAGCGCTTCGAGGCCTTCGGTCGGCCAGAGGACTGTAAAGTGGTCATCAAAAACGAGTGGGTTCTGTTTCCATCTACTTCCCTGAGCTTGTCGTGCCCTGAGCGGGAGAATGGAGCGCTGATGTTTCTGTGTGTTTGTGTAGGGAGCGTTGTGGGGTGATCACGCTGAGAGCCGCTCAGAACGGCCAGACCTCACGGCACAGGTGGGACTCGCTCGGTCCGAGCGGAGGGAGCGGCAGCCGGCGGTTCGGCAGGAAGCGTTACATCGATCTGGGTACGAGAACACAGAGCTTCCTGTCTCTTTGATGTCGCCTTTGCGTCAGACGTCTGGTGCTCTGTTCTTAGTCAGATGAAGTCAGAGGTGTCTTCTCATTTCTAAGCTAATAAACAGCCTAATTCAACTTCATTTGCATTTAAATGGAAAAAAAGACTTTTTGATTCTTGGTTGACCCGCTTGAAAAAGCAGGGTGCCGTTTTAATTATAGTCAGGCCAGTGCGCCGCAGTGCTTGCTATTACATCAAGTCCAGGAACTAAATAATGTGTGAAGTCAGTTCCAGACGATGAGAATGAAAATCTGGTCATTTTTAAGTCAGACTCATCATCTAATTCAATGTGCTGAGTCAGGTTGTATCTAGCCTAGATCAAAGTTTGGTTAAAAAAAGGTTGCACAACTGCTGTCAAGATATGTCATGTGTTTTGTAAATGACTGACGCTGGTATTTAGATCAGTGATTCTCCACTGGCTTTGCTTTCTAACACAGTTTAAAAATGGGTTTTTCATACAAAAGTAAACAAATATTGAAATCAAATCAAATTTCAAAGAAACGCACAGGCTCATTATGCAGATTATTAACATGACATGCATGAACTGAATAGGAAATCCAAGATTTGTCAAAGTGAATTGAGGAAATGTATAAACAGCAGCACAAGTGTGATTTAGCATCTTAAAATATATTACAGACACTGAGCCAAGTGGTGTATTATTAGTATTGGCCATATTATCAAGCTGTGCTGTAACTGTTAACTAAAACTAATAAATATAATTTAGGGTCAATTAAATAAAGCTGAAATAAAAGAAAATACAAATATTAGATGAAAAACTAAAAGTAATAAAAAATATAAAAAATGACAGAAGCACACAACAAAATTACTAAAACTAGAATTAAAATGAAAACTGAAAATATAATAATAAAAGCTACAAATTACTATAATTGTATATAAATAATGGTAAAATAACATGTATTAAGCGGCATGTAATTTTGCACCATTATATTGTAGAATTTGACATTAACAATAAACTGTTTTTTCCCCAGTATCTTGCCAAGCACAATTGTAGTACTTTTTGTATTTTATTACTTTATTTACTATTTACTTATTTATAATATATATACATAATAATAGCTGCGTTTGTATGAAACCAGAGCGAGTCCGCGATACCAGGATGACATAATTAAATAATTGTACACCATTTTGAATCGAGTTTTAATATTTTATTAGCCAAACAAACGCAAAGCTTCCACCAAGAAAAAAATAGTTCAGGCAAGAGTACAGCGCCGACTGCTGTTACCCGGATGAGCCGGTGTTATCAGCTCTCACCGGTTGTTATCGAGGGATAACATACCTCGGAATGTCACGACTGACCAATCAGAATCAAGTATTCCACAGAGCCATGTAATAATACAATATAATATAATATGGAATGTACATGTGAGATTAATTTAGAGAGAAGATGCACAAAACTACATTCTTTTAAAATGGCAGTAAAATTATACAAATAAATCCATCAATAGCCCATACAACCTGATTGTTTTGTTGTTATAGGAAATGTATTTAACCAAATATAATTTTTATTCTCTTTTTTTTCTCAGCATGTCGCTAAGCACAATTATAGTACTTTTTGTATTTTATTGCTTGAATAATATTGAATAGAATGTACATGTAAAATTAATTTAATAATTTAGTACTATAATTCAAATTATACAAATAAATCCATCAATAGCCTTTGCAACCTGATTATGATTTGTTGTTACAGGAAATATTTTTTACCATATATCATTTTTAAATTGCTTTTAGCAGATGACCTTGGTGTAACAAACTAACTGTGAGTGTTTTGTCGTTCAGATGAGGCGGGTCCCGGTCCGTTGAAGAGCAAATATGATGCACTGGACTTTGACGCTCTGCTGAAAGAGGCCCAGAGGAGCCTGCATCGCTGACACGCGCCTTACCACGCCTCCAGCCTCACGCCCCGTCCCGGACTCGCCTCAGCACCTCAAACAAGGCACTTCTTCATGTTTACATTTTGAACATTGGAATAAAAAAAAAAATGGACCTTGTCACTTCTGAGGATCGGAGGTCATTGGGGCGGGAGGATTACAAAGGAACAGAAACAGCTCTGAGACACTGGACACAAGTGCTGCTTCTCGTGTGTGGTTGATGCCATTCGTGATGTTGCGAGCGGCTCGGGCTTCGTAGCAAACCGCACTCTTTTCCATCGGTTGTTGTGACGTTCGTGTGCTTTTTTCTGTTTTTTTTTTTTTATTTGTACCCCTTTGTCACTCTTCTTAGACCTGCAAGGTGCTTTCACCGTTTTGTCGTACAAATATATAAACAATAACAGCTTTGTATTAGCGAAACTTTGTGGATGTTCAACTCTGTGTGTGTGTGTGTGTGTGTGTGTGTGTGTGTGTGTTACGATGGATTAAAAGTGGATTAAAAAAAAACGACAAACAAAAAAATCCTACAAGGTAGAGTTTACAGATCAATAAGTCAAGAAAAAAGTAGTCTTTTTGTAATTTTAGTGCTTCCTTGATTTCATCTATGCACTCAAACGAGGTAGTGCTTCTTTAGTCTGGCCTCTGCCCTCCTCTGGTGTTTAAGGGGCTTTTGCTGCTGGCTGTCAGACACAACCGAGTCCAAACCCGACTGTGTTATCTTAACGCTGAAGTGTGTCATTTTTTTGACGTTAAAATACTCCAATCCCAGCCAAAAGCTGTTCAAGTAAACACAAATCCTAAAAAGAGTATCAAAACATTTAGTTTGAGCAGCCTGACACATTAGGGGCGGAGCTTTCTGTTTGGCTGACCGATTGGAAACCTGTTTGAAAACCGTCATTATGTTTGGTGCAGAGCTACACACTTCATCTTTAATTCACCAGTTGCTGTTACTGTTTTACGTGTCGGAACGCGACCCAATCTGGTTTAGAATCCCAATCTGTCGGAAACGGTTTTCAAGAATGTACCTATCACGAAACACGCGATTGTAATGCCCATCCTGTTGGTCTAGATTCGAAAGTACAGTTGAGCGTTTAGACTCTCCCAGTAGCATAGCCCTACCAGACATCCAGGCTTTTGCTGAGAGAAGGGTGGCGGTAAACTAGGAGGAAGATCTTTCCAGAGCTCAATCTCATTAGAGATACGGTCGTATCTCTGCTTTGTTTACGTGTCACTCTCTCATACTCTTTCTCTCTATAAGCTCAAACACTCTTTTTTTTTTTTTTTAACTCTCTCCTTTCTGACAGGGGAAGATCTGCGGGTTTTTTCTAGCTCTTACCTTGTGGCTACTTCTCTCTTTGTCCTTTGTGTGTGTTTTTTGAAGTCTAAACGTGTACCAGTGTATAACTGCGTGTCGTTTGTGTCTTTTACGGGGTCTAGGGATGGCTCCGTCCCTTATTATATGCTGGGACCTGTTGCTTTTATTCTGCGGGGGTCTCCTCGAACCTTCGGCCTGTGGATCTAGTGCAGTTGTGAGTGTGTGTGTGTGTGTGTGTGTGCTGGTTTAGGGAGAGCCGTCAGCCTCTCTTTACTCCCTAACTCTCCCCTTTAGCCAGAAACACACCCCAAACCTGAATGTTTACATGACTGAATTCTCTTTCGACTTTTACTAGAGCGCACACTAAGTACAGAACGCCTTATTCAGTATTTAAGTACCCTATTAGGATGTGCCTTTCGGCTTTCCCTTTTACGGTACTGAGCTGTTACTTGGACACGACCTCTGAATATTACAGCCGCTTTTGTCCAATTTGCCCTATAAGAGCTTCAGAAAACAAACTGAATGAGTGTTTGTGCTTAGTATGTATACTACAAAGTAAGTGAGAGATGTGCTGGTTTACATGATTATGTATATATATATATATATGGAGAAGTATATAATGTGTATATAGCACTGTGTCTTGTGTAAACATGAGATGTATGGATATGTGCTGTACAGCGATGTGGTAACGTGTGGTTTTAAAGGGTGGCTCTGATTGGTTGTTGGTGAACCCGATGATGCAGCATTAAGCAATACAGGGAGATCCAGAAGGGAATTGTTCATTGATATGGCTTCATAAGTCAAACACAGTTGTATAAAGTGTCCCTTTAGAAATGGTTCTCTTTAATGACTTTAAGATTAAGCGTTTTTCTTTTTTTATGCAATTGAGATGCAATACCGCTGAGAGAGCTAAGAAAGCTTTTCTTATAACGGAAGGCTTTATTGAAGAGATTGGTTGTATTAAGGGTAATCGAATCCTGTACTGTATGTTGTAGACGGCTCGGATGGTTCGAAAAGAAGGTCGACGTTTAGAATCGCTGGCCTAGAGGGACTTTTTTTGTTAGGAAAATACACAGACAGCCCAGTCTCACAGGGAGAGCCTTAAACCTTAGAGGAAAATAAAGCTATCAGTCCTATCTGATCTCCTGTACAATCCAATGTGTTTTCTTCACTTTTTCAATACAGCCATATTATAAAAGGTATATACATATATATGATTATATAAATACATATATATATATATTTGTGTTTGTGTAGATAAATATATAGATGATATAATTTGTTATAGACCATTTTATTCAGTGTTTCAGAACTCTTCAGTACATTTCAACACTGTCAATCTAGAATGTACAGATTCAAATTAAAAATATTAAAAAAATAAAAAATAAAAAAAAACTTCCAAAGGGAATCTTCTTCAATGCAATACATTTTTCCAGCCCTCATTTTAGCAGTCGCTAGACAAGTTGACCAAAAAGTACATTTGATGTTTGGATACAGGAGAAGCGTGGTATCACATCAAATCCATTTCAAGAATGTCATGATCGTTTGACTTGACCCTCTGTGTGTGTGTGTGTGTGTGTGAGAGAGAGAGAGCGCATGTGATTTCTTCCTGTTTTTTATTAGTTCATACAAAATGTCACTTTTAATTCACTACATCTATGGCCTGGCAATTTGTCGTTCACAAAGTACATGCTCTTGCAAGATAGGAGAGAATTTTCCTCTTGAATCAGCAGTGATTATATTCGGGGAAAGTTTATATTGTCAAGAAGTGGATCTAGCATTTGTGTCATGATCCAATGGAGTTTTGCTGCTTCGAGACATTTTCTTTTGTGGAAACTAAATTTGAGTCAAAGGGCATACATTTTTCTTGTTTTTTTGGACTATTTACATCTAACGACTATCAGATTTGCTATGATTTTCCTTTTTTTAAACGTAGTTTTCGGTAAATACTGCTAGTAAGATTTTATATTTTTTACATATGTTTTGAGTTTTTTAATTTTTTATTTATATGCCACTTAGCTTGGAAGTCTTGAAATGGTATTGGTTTTATTTTCAGTTTAGTTTTTCTCTGTATTGTGTGATTTCCATACATCTTGAGAATGTGGAGACAAATGCATTTCAGTATTTTTTAAATTGTTAAAATCTAGTTTCCTAGATCAAATCTATATATAGTGGAAATTATTTGATGTCATAAATTATATTTTAATTCCTGTAAATATTTTAAAAAAGCAGATGATGGCTTCCTTTTTGAACTGAACACATTTCTCTTCCGAGATTGTTTACATTATTAAACTGTAGAAACTGCTCCTCATATACTGTAAAAAAAAGTACATATTCATTGTTTTGCCTCCAAAAAATAAAATCCATAATGAACAACGTTCAACTTTGTGATTCATTCGTGTACTGCATTACTATATTATTTATGCCAAATAAATGCTGCAGTAAACCGCAATAATACCGTTCAAAGAATTCAACACTATTCTTGGAACTTTTTTTATGCAATTGAGATGCAATACCGCTGAGAGAGCTAAGAAAGCTTTTCTTATAACGGAAGGCTTTATTGAAGAGATTGGTTGTATTAAGGGTAATCGAATCCTGTACTGTATGTTGTAGACGGCTCGGATGGTTCGAAAAGAAGGTCGACGTTTAGAATCGCTGGCCTAGAGGGACTTTTTTTGTTAGGAAAATACACAGACAGCCCAGTCTCACAGGGAGAGCCTTAAACCTTAGAGGAAAATAAAGCTATCAGTCCTATCTGATCTCCTGTACAATCCAATGTGTTTTCTTCACTTTTTCAATACAGCCATATTATAAAAGGTATATACATATATATGATTATATAAATACATATATATATATATTTGTGTTTGTGTAGATAAATATATAGATGATATAATTTGTTATAGACCATTTTATTCAGTGTTTCAGAACTCTTCAGTACATTTCAACACTGTCAATCTAGAATGTACAGATTCAAATTAAAAATATTAAAAAAATAAAAAATAAAAAAAAACTTCCAAAGGGAATCTTCTTCAATGCAATACATTTTTCCAGCCCTCATTTTAGCAGTCGCTAGACAAGTTGACCAAAAAGTACATTTGATGTTTGGATACAGGAGAAGCGTGGTATCACATCAAATCCATTTCAAGAATGTCATGATCGTTTGACTTGACCCTCTGTGTGTGTGTGTGTGTGTGTGAGAGAGAGAGAGCGCATGTGATTTCTTCCTGTTTTTTATTAGTTCATACAAAATGTCACTTTTAATTCACTACATCTATGGCCTGGCAATTTGTCGTTCACAAAGTACATGCTCTTGCAAGATAGGAGAGAATTTTCCTCTTGAATCAGCAGTGATTATATTCGGGGAAAGTTTATATTGTCAAGAAGTGGATCTAGCATTTGTGTCATGATCCAATGGAGTTTTGCTGCTTCGAGACATTTTCTTTTGTGGAAACTAAATTTGAGTCAAAGGGCATACATTTTTCTTGTTTTTTTGGACTATTTACATCTAATGACTATCAAATTTGCTATGATTTTCCTTTTTTTAAACGTAGTTTTCGGTAAATACTGCTAGTAAGATTTTATATTTTTTACATATGTTTTGAGTTTTTTTTTTTTATTATTTATATGCCACTTAGCTTGGAAGTCTTGAAATGGTATTGGTTTTATTTTCAGTTTAGTTTTTCTCTGTATTGTGTGATTTCCATACATCTTGAGAATGTGGAGACAAATGCATTTCAGTATTTTTTAAATTGTTAAAATCTAGTTTCCTAGATCAAATCTATATATAGTGGAAATTATTTGATGTCATAAATTATATTTTAATTCCTGTAAATATTTTAAAAAAGCAGATGATGGCTTCCTTTTTGAACTGAACACATTTCTCTTCCGAGATTGTTTACATTATTAAACTGTAGAAACTGCTCCTCATATACTGTAAAAAAAAGTACATATTCATTGTTTTGCCTCCAAAAAATAAAATCCATAATGAACAACGTTCAACTTTGTGATTCATTCGTGTACTGCATTACTATATTATTTATGCCAAATAAATGCTGCAGTAAACCGCAATAATACCGTTCAAAGAATTCAACACTATTCTTGGAACAAGTGCTGAATAGCAACTTGAGAAAGAGGATTTTGAAAAACCCAGCAGCATTAAGTCCGTCACTTTTTTTTTTCCACTTGTTCCAAATGACATTCCGCATTGCATAAACAGAATAGTTCAGTCGGAAACCCTCTGGTTGGTTGCCGCATTGAAATAGCAGCAAGTGGCATTCTGTGTTGTATCCATGGAGAGTGCCTACATTTTTAGATGGTGAAGCTAATTGTGGCGCTTCCTTTCACTGAGGGTATGTAGCAGAACATGCTGAATGAGAGCACTGTTAACGCAGCCATTCGGAGAGCTGGTGGCAATTTGCCGCTCTGCTGGTTTGTGATTCAGATGTCAGAATAATCATTCCCTACGGCACTGTGTGTGTGTGAGAGGGATGCACATCTATCTGAGTAGGTGTGTGTATTTGCGGTCACGTCAGAGCTTATTTTGGCTTTTGCAGTGGTTGCAGATTTTCTCGACTCCACCTCTTTGCTGTAAGAGTGAGGTCAATGTAGCAGAAGACGTGACATCATAGCCATTGACGTGCAGTGACTGCGTCTGTGACATGACGTAAATGCTAGCATTGATCCCGCCTCTTTTTGCTGTCCTGCCAATCGGCTCGGAGTCGATAAGGCCAACACCCCCTAGGTGTTATCCAATGCTTTTGCAAGACTGTTACGTATGTCCCAGTGGGACAGATAGCACTAGCGCACACACATGTGCAACCACGCGCACTGCATCCTAGGGGCAGAAGTCTTATTTTGCACAGCAACACGGTTACAAAAGCTTTAAAAAATGACAATGTTAAGCTCAGAAATTCCTCATTTGATATTGTATTTGCGGTCACATCAGAGCTTATTTTGGCTTTTGCAGTGGTTGCAGATTTTCTCGACTCCACCTCTTTGCTGTAAGAGTGAGGTCAATGTAGCAGAAGACGTGACATCATAGCCATTGACGTGCAGTGACTGCGTCTGTGACATGACGTAAATGCTAGCATTGATCCCGCCTCTTTTTGCTGTCCTGCCAATCGGCTCGGAGTCGATAAGGCCAACACCCCCTAGGTGTTATCCAATGCTTTTGTAAGACTGTTACGTATGTCCCAGTGGGACAGATAGCACTAGCGCACACACACGTGCAACCACGCGCACTGCATCCTAGGGGCAGAAGTCTTATTTTGCACAGCAACACGGTTACAAAAGCTTTAAAAAATGACAATGTTAAGCTCAGAAATTCCTCATTTGATATTTATTAGTGGACTTTCCAACTGTATTCACACTATACTCATGCATATTTATTTAGTATGTAAGAATGCTCTATTCTGTACATTTTCAGCCATAGTCACTACAGTATAACTTTACAAAACCTGATGTCACCACTGAGACATTGCAATAGTCGGTTACTTGCACTAAAAGGTTTTCTTTACCTATAAACTCGTGACTAGTGTAAATTGTAACAGGACATTGTCATACATTCTCATTATCTGTTTTTATGCAGTTTGACGTCTAGAAGATGACACAGGTCTTGGACTGAGATGTGGGCTGGACTGCGTTTCCTGTGAGGAAAGAGAATTTGGTTATGGAAAGAATAAATGACATGTCAATTGTTTGTAAAAATGCATCCTTAATCGAACAGTTCATAAATGAAAGAAACAATCTTTATTTATTGTTTAGAAAATTCTTCACAAAAATTGTTCCAAAACCATATTAGCTTTTTGTGTGTGTGTGTGTGTGTGTGTGTGAGAGAGAAATACAAAAGGTGACATTTTGAAAAATGTTCACGCTCCTCTTTTTAGTAGGCAAAAGGACAAAAAAGCTAATAATGAAAAAAAGGTGCCACAAAAGTAGTCCATATGAAGTCATACACTAACTTTGTGCAAGTTTCATATGTGCATATGCTTAATGTGCAATTTTGCAAGCCATCCAAGATGTAGATGAGTTTGTTTCTTCATTGAAACAGATTTGGAGAA